TAATTGTGTTAGGAAAGAGACTGCGTGAAGTCTATTCGGTCTAATTTATCAAACAGCTGAATAGTTCAACACACGTTCATTATTTAGCCTATAAGTTCGATGAGCTTTCACTAGGGAAGATTTAAGGCCAAAAACTACCTATCACGATGGACGATCTTTTCAAAGACGTACTCTCTATAGTGTGTTAGCATTATCAGTTGTATACTAACAACCAATTTTTCATTCATGTGGGGGATTGTTGGGCCAAAAACAGTTTCTCAAAACAATTACCTAAGTGTAAAAACTGAATTTTTGGTCGACATTAAGTTTAAATTAAAGCGGGACCCCATTCGTTATTTCGAGTAAAATTTCGTGAGTTCGTATTCTATTCCGTGAGGAGAATAATGTAGTATATTCACTTGCTCAAATTGAATAAGAAATTAATGAAAAAATAGACTACAAAGTGATCCACCTGAAATGTGAAAATAAATGTTGTGCAATGTGGGATTTGACATCAATCTCACATTGGTTGAGGAAGAAATTCTCCTTGAGCATATATAAGCCAAATTTGCACTAAGGAATTGGGCCCCAAGGGGTACCACAATTTTATGAGCATAACGAACACCTACATGCTTTCGGTTCTACCACACAAGCGCGCTCCCACCACACCACGACTTGACCCAACCGGGCTCAGGCTTGGGTGTGGATTTGACCAAACCCTATCTTTTTGGAAAAAAATTGTTTAATTAATTAGGCGTGAATTTCTTAATCGAAAATTTAATTTTCGATATTTGTTGGATTTGAATTCGCACTGATTCGAATTTGTTGCTTTCCTCTGATCCGAAATTTGAGTTGTGTCTTCTGACTACATGTGACTATTGTGTTGCAACTATTTACATGGTTACTGTCTAGATCAGTCACCATTTTCTTTATAAATAACTCAATCACATAATTATTTTGCATTCAATTCATCAAATACATTCTTAGTCATTTAAGACAGTCTCATACATCATTAAGACAATCTGTATTTGGAGAGTACACAACACAATTTTCTGGTTCGTTGGGCGAGTAGATTGGAGTGTCACTTCTATTCGTGTAAAGTTTATTGTATCTTGAGAGGTAGACGTTTGATATTTCATAAACACTATGTGTGGGGGCAAAATTTGTCTTAAGTCAAATATTAGCCTTGATCTACATAAAATTTAATAACAATTCCTGTTCTATAATCGGGTTAGTATTTATATTAATTTGACAAACAGTTACGTGTAACTATTTCGTTAAGACTATTGTAACTGTTTCGTTAATTTTTCTGTAACTGTTTTAATTTTATATGTAACTGTTTCGCACTTGATTGGTACTGTTTTATTATATATAACATGTTTCAAATCAAAAATTTTAATAAGTGATTTTATTATATTTTAAATACCACAAATAACAATTCAAAATTTGAAATATGAGACAATTAACTTTATTTTTTATCCATGAAGATAACAAGAAGATATAGAATAATTGTTTTTTTTCACGACTAAAAAACCGATTCATTTTAAAAACATTACGTTACTAAAATGATTCTAAAACTATATCACTAATTTCAATTACAACCTTAGCATATATCTTACCTCAATAATTAATTCTTTCAATATTTATCATGGAATTTGCACGGCACAATCAATATGAAAAAAAAAATAACAATCCACAAATATTAAAATCCAATCCCAATACCCTAATTATCCCGAGAAAAATATTATTTTAACATAATTTAAAATTTAATAATTTTTATCATTGAATTGTCCCCCTGAGCAAAGCCAGACCGACCTAATTTGGAAATTTTATTACTAATATAATGATCATAATAAATTAAATTCTCAAATTACGCCCTTAAATTAGTGTTAACCCGACCCAACTCTATTTATTCCCTCCACCTCCAAATTCTATCCTCGTCTCCACCCGGAAACCCATCAACTCCACCTTTACCTCCACTTCTACTCCGTATAACCCAACCCCCTCGAAACTAAAGAATTTAATCAAATGTGAATTTTTCCATTTCTCCTCCCAATTTTTGAATCGTTCTTGCAAGAGCTTCAAATCTAAGAGATTTACCCAATAGAAGAACAATTTCCGGTGAGTCTCCGACGAAAACTAATGCCAAAACACGTCGACTTAGTTTTTTGTGGTAATATGAAGTGTGCCCAGTAGAATGATTTTCCAAATCAAATAGTCCCGGCGTTTTTGCGCAATTCGACTCTCTCATTGTCGCGAAGTTTTTGAGGAGAGATTAGAAATTCATATACCTTGGCGCCCTTTTGATTTGGCAATGAAGAGGGCATCAACAATGGTGTGTGACAGGTCAGTGCTAGTCTTTAGCAAGAGTTCGTGTTTCCTCTTCTGTGGTGTTTGTGTTAATTCTGTTATGTGATTAGTTTGATGTGTTGCTGGTGGAGGGGATTGAGTTTTTATGAGCTTTGTTGAATGGGTGATAATAAACCAGAGGTAGAGAGGGCTTAGCAAGGTACCTTTGGGACATTTAGGGTTAGGGTTTAGTTAGTGAAATTGGGAATGGGAGAAGAACAGGGCCGGGCGGATGGGTGGAGCATGCGGGTCACAACACAAAGGATTGGGTTTGGATATCTGTTTTTTTTTATCATTTTTTAATTTACGTTTTTTGAATACCCTTATTGATCAGTCGTCTGAGTGATACAGAACCAATCTGTTTTAAATGTGACGAAATTGAACCCAAGGGGTATTTTTAATTAAATTAAGAAGCTTGAGGATTTAAGTTATTTAATTGGGATAGAATTTAGTTTAGGGTGCGGGCTATTCTCGCCCCTTAAATCTCCTTTCTCACCCCATTTCATTTTTTGACTTCAAGATTTAAACTATTAAGTTCACACCATTTTTATTTATTCCATTAGTTGCTAAACTCACTCCGTCTATATTTACTAATTAAAAAGTAATTCATTCAATTTTATTTCAACTTACTATTATATAGACAATGATCAAAATTTTATTTCAGTGTATTATTTTGGTACGAAAATGTTTTATAAACATAATAAAAAATAATTTAATAATTTATTTTAAAAATATTAGTCAAAATGTACCAACATCTTACAAAAGCTCAAAAAAAATTAAAGATATTAGTGAAAATATGTCAAAACACCTTGAACTATTCCAGATCACCTTTGAATATTGAAATTTTGCTTTAGTTATTTTATTGTTTCAGTTTATTTGAATATATATTTAATATTTTAATTAGATGAAAATATAAGGTGAATTTAGTCATTAATGGGGTGGATATAGATGAGATGAATTTATTAGTTTGAAATAAGATGAATTAATGGGTGGGAAATGAGATTTAGGGAGTGAGAATAATCTTTTAGTTTAAGCCTTAAGGAGTTGATTGAAACTAGTTGCATAATTTAACTACTATTTTAAAAGTTTATTCTTTCAAGAAAACTGGCGAATGTTCAGAATAGGGGTGCTTTAGCCATTTCTTGTCTTATTATGAGCACACTCCACCATTCTCCGGTTAACTTTTACTCTATTAAATATGGGATAATTGTAAAATGTCCCCTTTTATTTTGGGTAATTTTTCATTCACTCTTTCAGGTTTTGATTTTAACAAATATTTCATGGTAAGTTTGAACATTTTGCAATTTATTTCAACAGTTAATTTTAAACCATAAAAATAGACGGAAGTTAGACATGTAAACTTCATGTGATTTGTACTTTGTTGAAAATATATAATTACATGCACACTTTTTTTCCCATGTGCCAAACATCCATACTACCCTGACCAGACCCACGGCTGGGCACACTAAAAACCCTTCCATCCTCCCCTACCTTAGACGCTAAACTCTCATTCTTTTCCCTCTTCTAGCAAAAACCCTCAATTCCCTCTAACAAGGCAGAGGCGAAGGGGAAGACGAAAATGGTATTGTGTAGTGTATTGTTGTTGAGCTAAACAAATGAAATTTTTATTCCGCCTTTTTTGTTTCTTTTCTTTAGGGACAAAGTTGATATCTCAAGAAAAAAATATGAAAAACAATGTACAAGATGTAGAGTGTAATGATTCTTTTATGTTTCAGTCACCTTTGTCAGTCAATTTAATCCACTTGAAATTTGGAGGGGGCAAATTGCAACATTTGAAATGAAAAGGAGTTGATTGTAATAAGGGACATAGTTGAAGCGAGTAAATTGTAATTAACCCATTAAATATTTGACAATGAGCTACATACATTAGGATATTGATGGTATAATTCTAATAATTTCTTAAAAATCTATTCTTTCAATATCAAGTGAAAGAGCAATGTTTTTTGGACTTAATTTATTAATTTAATTAATCATAACCATTAAAATTAACAGTGGGTCCCAATATTTGTTTGAATTCGCTACTAATCTAATAATTATGGTAGATTAAGTCAATAAATTATGTTTGTAAATTAGGTCTAATTAGTATTATTTCTTGTGAATATTCAAAATAGGATGCTTTAGCCATTTCTTTTCTTGTGAGTAGACTCGACCATTTTCCAGTGCACTTTTTCGCTGTCAAACGTTTGAGACTGAGCTACCTACATTAGTATAATCAACAATATATCAGAGGAAGCAGTGGATTGACCGCTGCTTTATTGATGCAGACAGGTCTTGGATCAATTGACCCCACTTCTAAGACTTTAGGGAGGCAGTGGACTATCTTGCGAATTCCTAACTAAAATGGAATAGTCATGACATTGATGGCATTTAAATTTGATTGGATGAGAAGTCTTTGCCTGTAAAATATTCAAACACTTCGGTTCTCTATTTAATCTGATAGCACTTTGCCAATAAATAGAAACAAAAATATGTCAGACTCTTATTAATTACCATCATCGTATATCTGTAGAAAAATATGATGGAAACAAAGGGTTTGCAGAGGTGGGTACTGATGTTAGTTTCGGTATGGGTTTGTGGGGTTGGATGTTTTGGTTGTTGAGAGCAAGGGAGAATTGCTCTCTTGCAACTCAAAGCTTCCATCAACTTCCCACATGGAACGTCTTTACCATCTTGGGAGGACACAGTGGAAGGTAATAGTATGGAGAGTGACTGTTGTTATTGGGAAGGAGTTGAATGCAACGAGACTAGAAGGTTTACTATTGGGATAACTAAAATATTACCGTATTTAAGATCGATTTTCAACAGACGAGATCGGATAGTAGAATAGAGAGAAGGATTTGCTGCTTTCTTAAAATAATAGAGTCAGGAGAGGGTCTATGTTAATAGAGCTCTTTAGATAGGGAGAGGAAAGACGTAACTAGACTGCAGAAAGAATAGAATCTTTTACCGCTACATCGGCTGGAGAAGAAAACTCTGCAAAGGAGATCCCTATCCTTTCTCTAGTTGAAGACTAATCGGGATATTCCCGAAGATGCTTGACTTTACAGCTCATGTAATTAAGCTTTCCCTTAACTCTACAAGGGACCGGCTTTTAGGAGATTGGTATTTCAATGCCTCTTTGTTTCTTCCCTTTAAAGAGCTCCAAAATCTCGACTTATCTGATAACCAGCCTGTTGGCTGGTTTGCAAATGAAGGTCTAGATTTTCCTGTTTATCAAACCAATATGCATGTGGTGTTATTAGTATGTTGATTTGGAGCTTTATTTTTTCCCTGAAATCTAAACTTCTTAGCAGGTTTTGAAAGATTATCTGGGTTGAGCAAGCTGGAGATTCTTCGGTTGGATTGGAATCGCTATGATAACAGTGTCCTATCCTCTCTCGGAGTGCTTTCATCACTTAAGAGATTATACATGAGCAACAGCCAATTGAATAGATCTGTTCACTTACAAGGTATGAAGGAGACCTTAGCAATATTTATTTCTCAAGGAGAATTGCAATGAAATACTGCAGTATCCTACGAGATCAGAATGCAAGTGTTTTACGTTCACTAGGGGCATTGCCATCTCTTAGGACGCTAAGCCTTAGTGTGGAGGGATTGGTCACCAAAAAAGGTAAACTAGTGTTGATGATAATTAGCAACTATCCCCCACTCAACAACAACGAAATTTTCTTTTCTCAAACTTTTCTTTTCTCAATCTCATTCTTCAAGTTTGGCTATTGTGCATAATCAGTCCAGTACATGTTGTTTAAATTTTGGGTGGGAAAGGCCACGCACACCTGATGGATACTCACTCAGGGGCATTATTTGGAAATAAAAACAGTTGTTACACTTTATCCCAAAAATATCGTCGGGGTTTCCATTTTGGTCTTAAAACTGAATTTTTTCCTTTGTTCCTCAATTGAACAAAATTTTTCGTGCATCCAAAGTTCCAACATTCATTTTATATATACATATATATACTCATTCATACACATACAAACGCAAAAACCCATATCCATGCGTAAACATACACAAACACACACACTCATCCGATTCTTCTACATTATGACTCTCTCTCTCTCTCTCCTGAGGCTGGCCAAACAAGGGAGACAAAAAGGTGTGAGCTTTAGGCCCTAGTTATAAAAAAGGCCTCTTATTTCATATGTCAATAGTATTGTTGAGGCCCAAACTATAAATCCATAATATTCTACTAAGTTATTACCAAAAGAATCTTATAAAGTTTAAGCCCAATAAGAAAGTTTTATATTCAATGGTCTAGATCCATCCATAAATCAGCCCACAAAATTCAAAATTCATATCTCTCCCCTTGCCCTAGCACTTCACAAAATCCATATCTTTAAACCTATTTAAAAATAACCTACTTAATTTTGTTGGCAAGAGTGATAACCTAACTTTGATAAAAAAAAGAATCCAAATATCAAATTTTAATTTTTTAAAGTAACACTAATAATTAAATTTTATTGTTCAATATTTTAAGACTTTTGTTTAAATTCAAGTTTTTTTTAAAAAAAAAATTATAGATCCTTTTTGATCATATGTACTTTATTTTGATTATTTATTATAGACAAGATATAAAAACTTAAAAACTAATTGTACAATGTTACAAGTATCATTCTAAAAGATATGATAGCATTTGATAAGATATAATATCAGAATTTGAGAATATAATAATTTGATTAGGAATGTGTATTTGAACTAGCAAGAAATTATTTTTTTTAAAAATTATATTTGTAGTAAAAAATATCAAAAGATATGTGCCCCCCTTCCCCCCCCCCCCCCCCCCACCGCCACTATCTCACCATCACCCCTACCACATCACCCCCATTGCCCCTCAACCACCATCACCATTGTCATTTATAACTGTCACTATTACAACCAACTGTTATCATCTATCACAACTATCATCGTCTTCCACCACCACCACTACCGTCTACCATCACTACCACCACTCGCCCACTTAAATTCTTTTATTTCTTCTCTATTTTTGTAATTTGATTTTAGGTGTGAATACGAATATATTTATTGTTGACCATTTTTTTTTATTACTCCATACTTTCAGACATGAAAAATAACTAGTATTCTTATAATTGCGTGAGAAAGACAAAAACAAGGTGTCAAGATTAATGTAAAAGTTGAATGAGCGAATGACATTTTCCACGCTACTTTTTTTTAGATTTTATATTCACACCCTAAAATATTAGAATTTCTTGATTGCACCCTCAATTACATAAAAAAAAAGTAGCAATGTGATTTAATTATAACTTCGACATTAAAAAGGTTTAATTTTATCTCAAAAATTTAAAAATTCTGATATAGTAGTCTTCTAAAAAAAAATTGTCGAAAAGTCAACTTGATAACTCGAACTGTAGTTTACTTGTTATAACACTTATAAAAAATGTTATTTTTTGTCTAATCGAAAGCATTGTTAAAATGATTATTTTTTCATCAATTACCATGCATTCACAAACATTTGGTGGTAGTCATCCGTTTTGATTTTGGATTGAATTAATGATTATGAAAAATTATGATTAAAACTGTAATTGAAATTTTTATGAGATTGAGGCGAGATATAATTGTGCGTAAATTATTAAAAGATTGATTTAATTGTCTTAATTGACTTTAATAAGACAAAATATTTTTGAAGGGACTTACACAATGGCATCTAAACAAGGATGAAACCATTAGTTTATTTCACAAGATCATTCAATAAGTTGTCGTTAATGTCAATTTTTTAGTTGTGTATATGACCTATATTAATTAATTTTTCACACAATTTTTTTTGAATATTATCTATTTTTAATAAAATCAAAAAAATTAATTCATATCAATTNTAAGAAGGTTTTGCTTCTTAATCTTGTTTCCAAGTATTTTCAATACAGTTGGGTGGACTGATCAACTTGGAGCACTTAGATTTGTCTGGTTCATCCATCAATTGGAGATTTCTTTATGAGTTGATTTGCGAAAGCCTTACCCATTCATCATTGATATTATGGAATGCCTTCCCCCCTCCTGTGGATAGTTGCTTTGTTGTGGTTCCTTGAATTGTTAAGTTGGAAACTTTAGTTTGTTCACAAGTCATTAGACAATTTTATTTATTTGCGAATTAGAATTCTAGCTAAGCATCCTTTATTACATTTACAAGATTGTGTGACCTTAACAACCTTGAAGAGCTATACTTTGCTGGTAATGATATGGAGGGTATATTTCCTTCCTGGGAAACTTGACCTTGCTCTGAATCTTGGATCTCTCCTCCAATAACTTAGTTGGTAGTATTGCCCAGTCTCCCCTTAATAGCCTCACTTCACTAGAATCAATTTCCCTTTCATATAACCACTTCATGATCCCGTTCTCATTTCCCTTGTTTTTTAACCCTTCAAAGCTTGAGGTCATTTTAATTGATAACAACATATTGAACCTCGAAAATGAATCTCAATCATGGATTCCAATATCTCAACTGAAGGTTTTTAGTTCCTCAAATTGAACCATTGAAAGACTACCATATTTCCTATATCATCAAAATGACTTGAGAGTTGTAGATCTCTCCCACAACAAGTTGTCAGGGAGGTTTCCGTCCTGGTTATTAGAGAAAAATAGGAGATTGGAAGTTCTTAACCTGCGAGATAACTCTTTCACGGGATCTTTGCAAATGCCTTCTTATCCGAGTCCCCATCTTTCATACCTTGATGTCTCTAACAATTACATAAGTGGTCAAATTCCATAAATTTAAATGTGATCTTTCCAAGCTTAGAAAGCTTAAAAGATGTCCAATAATCTGTTTGATGGCCATATTCCTTCTTTTGGTGGTATTAGATCTTTATTAGTCTTAGACTTATCAAACAATCACTTGTCTGGAGGCATATCGGGAGATCTTGCCATGGGTCTCTCCTCCTTGAAGGTCCTCAAACTATCAAATAATTCCTTGCATGGTCGAATATTTGCCATTATTTTCAACCTGACCAGTTTGGTATTTTGGTACTTGAACAACAACTACTTTCTTGGAAAGATACCAGATTGCTTCTCTAATGCCTCATTTTTGGAGGGTGTGGATATTAGAAACAACCATTTGTCTGGCGTACTTCCACAATGGATAGGGAATAAGTCATATTTGGAGGAAATATATTTGGCCAAAAATCAGCTTGAAGGTCCCGTTCCAATTGTGGTGTGTAAACTTGACAGGCTTTGATTTCTAGATCTTTCTGAAAATAACTTGTCAGACTCTGCCAGCTTGTTTTAACCCTTCAACCATTGCTCATGTCCATTTGAATAAAAACAGATTGAGTGGTCCATTGACTCGTGCATTCTGTGGCAACTCATTTTTGGTGACATTGGACCTTGGATATAACAACTTAACTGGTAGAATTCCTGATTGAATAGGCAGCCTCTCAGCGTTGAGTGTTCTTATCTTGAAAGGTAACATATTTGAGGGCAGCATTCCCANACAACCTTGAAGAGCTATACTTTGCTGGTAATGATATGGAGGGTATATTTCCTTCCTGGGAAACTTGACCTTGCTCTGAATCTTGGATCTCTCCTCAATTATGCCACCTAAAACGAATAAGCCTGATCGATATCTCTCAGAATAGTCTTTCAGGTTCTATTCCTCGTTGCCTAACTAACTTGACTTTTGAGTCAAACTATGCCAAATCTGTTACAGGTTCGAAATATGATTTATTCCCCCCAGGAATAAGTCAATTCTCATTGTATTCATCTTATTTTGAATCAATAAGATTGCCGAATGTCAAAGAAAAGGTCGAGTTCCCTACAAAGGGCTGGTCCTATTCCTATGACGGCAACATCCTCATTTTTATGTCAGGAATTGATTTCTCCTGCAACCAATTAACAGGTAAAATACCATCCAAAATGGGGAACTTAAGTGAGCTCCATTCATTGAATGTGTCTCATAATAATCTCACTGGATCAATACCAACAACATTCTCCAACTTAAGGCATATTGGGAGCTTAGATCTTTCCTATACCAACCTGAATGGGAGTATCCCCTCTGAACTGACTGAGTTGAACACTTTAGTGGTCTGCAGTGTAGCACACAACAACTTAACAGGTAAAACTCCAGATTTCAAAGCTCAATTTGCTACCTTCAATGAGATTAGCTACGAGGGAAATCCTCATCTGTGGACCTCCATCACATAGAAATTGTACTAACGCTGGAGCACCATCATCAATGCAAAAGGTTTCAGAGGATGAACAAAATAATGTTGGGTTCGTGTAAGCTTTTGTGTGTCGTATATTGTAGTGTTGTCACAATTGTAGCAGTTCTTTATGTGAACCCTTATTGGCGAAGGGCGTGGTTCAATTTCATTGAAATGTGTATAGTCTCTAGCTACTACATTGTCATTGACAGTTTCTGTAAGTTCAGCTGCAGGATTATGTAATTCTTTATCTAGATAGATGTGTCAATGTAACATTGTTTTTGATATGATATTCAAGTAATAAATCTACTCGTTAGTTGCACAAGCCATGTTGACATCATTTTTTCTCATGAAAATTCGCTCTTCTCTAATGACAATATTCAAAAAAAAAAAAAAAAAAAAAAAAAAAGACCCCTCTAGAGGGCACTATTAAATTTTTTTAGCATTATGCAATTAGTTTTTGTGGCTGTATCCTTGGGTTATGTATCACTGTCTAGAACTTTTCTTTTATACCATTCTGCCATCGTAGTTGTAAGGGCAGAAGATGGAGCTGGAAAAGAGTTCACCGTGTGCTTATAATAAGCCAGTTGATTATTTAAACAAATATTTAGCTGCACAAATAGACTTAACTTACTGACCTAATGCTATGTTACTGGAAATGAAAGCTTTTCCAATAGTCCTGTTTCCAATATCAGTTTGCAAAATGCATTTTCTATAGTCCTGTTTTTCTTTGCTAGTCAATACCATAGCTTGCCAATGTAACTCAATTCAGTTGTGTAGTTTGGTGATCGTCAATGACAACTTAGGAAGTTATTTTTCTTCGTTATTTTCCCATAATGTTGGTGATGATTTGCATATTATAGGATTGAGATGCTGTTGAAACTAATGTGATTTCAGTCCCGCCAAGCATCCAATGGATTCAGTTTGAAAAGAATTTAGCTCTCGTGCTATGGAAGCATTGGAACCACAGTTGTATTATCAAGATGTAATAATGATGATGCAATATGATCTAAACCATATATGGGCTCAATTGACCCCAAGTATGTGAATTAACTCCGTTGTAAGTAGTAGTAATGCAGATCGATCTAAACTATATATGGGGTAAATTAACTCCAGGTCGATACACGAAGTTAGCTATGTCGTGCTACAAAAGTAGTATATTGACTGTTGTTTTATATAGTTGAATGGAGTAATAATTAGTAATGACACAGATTGATCTAAACTATCAGTGGGGGTTTAACCCCACATACATGAATTTAACTCCGTCGTATTCCGAAAATAGTGGACTAACTGCTGCATTAAGTCAAATTGGATAGCAATTATTTTTAATGTAGATTGATCTAAACCATGAACAGGATCAATTGACCCCACATACATACAAGAATTTAGCTCCACTCTGCCGTGGAAATAGTGGATTGATTGTTGCATTCTTGAATCAAATGGAATAGTAATGGGTTGTGGCAATGGCTCCACATACAACAATTTAGGCCTGCCGTGCTAGACAGGCAATGGATGGATTGACTTGATCATTTACCAAGTCACGTGGAATAGCCTTGACATTGATTGCTTCTAAATTCTGGTCCATGAGAAGGTTTGGCCTGTAAACTATCTGAACAAAACCATTCACTTCACAAACTAGCAAATACATGAAAATGGGAACATTTGGCCTGTTCGGAGTTTGGGGTGTCCGTGGGTTGGGTTTGTCCAAGAGACCCGTTATTCAGCTCAAAATATAGACCCAAATCTTGATAGTTGATCGGACTAAGCCCGGGCTCAATATCTTTTAAGAGAGGGTTTGGGTCTGCCCTCAAGTCCATTATCCAACTCAAAATTCGGCCCATTAACTCACCCGTGTAGAAAAACTGGCATTAGAAATCGACTGTCAAGCCCGGACCACCTACTTTGTTTGAAAAAAAAAAATTGATCATCGAAAGCTAGGTGACATATTTCACTAAAAAAAAAATAAGTTATTTACTTAAATAGTAAGTTGAGTAATCTAGGGTATTATTCATTATTCATTATTTACTTAAATACTAAACAATTCATTTCAAATAAAATTATTCATTATTTATTTTTTATCCATTTGATTCTACTTTTAATTCAAAAAAATAATTTACAAACTAAGTTGGAAACTTGAGGGCTTTGGAGTAAAATAAGTCCGTTTGGACCTTGGCTTTTTCACTAGCTTATGCAGCAGCGTTTTGTATCCAAAAAAGCTTATTTAGGTTGATTCAAGAAGCTAATTTTATAAGTGTTTCTTTTGGTTGTTTAGAGTTTTGTTGTGGGTTACACATAACTTTTTAGTTTATTATATCCATAAAATACTATTAGTGACGTAAAAAAATTTAATATTCATATTTTGTGAACTATTATGTATAATCTATACATACATGTGACTATTTTTTTTTTTTTTTTTGGTAATTTTGACACAAAAAGTTAGAAAGTCATTTTAAATGAATTTTTTTTCAACTATTTAAAGAATACTCTAAACGATTTTAGAAAACCTTTTCAAATCGCAGCTTTTTACCTAAAAAAGTCAGTCCAAACAGGCTTATCGTACCATTCTCCAATGCATTTAGATCACTAACTTGCAGCTCCAACTACCAGTTATTAGTGCAAAGCAAAATTTGATTCCAACCCTCCCATGCCCATTTCAATCCCTTGAAGCACTCCATGGATTCAGTTTGCAGTCAGAAGAAAATAATTTAGTTCCGTCGTACTATGGAAACAGTGAACTGAAACCTGAATTATTGAATTGGATAGATTAGTAATGTGCAATGATGAAGACTAATCTAAACCATCAACTGCCCTGTAGGTGAATCTGGGCACCATATATGGAAACATTTGATTAATTGTTGTATTATTAAGTTGACTAGAATAACAATTAGTTATAATGCAAACTCATCTAAACCATCAATAGATTCAATTAACACCACATACATGAATTTAGCACCACCGTGCTATGAAAGCAGTGATTAATTGTTGCATTATTGAATCGAATAGAATAGCAATCCGTAATGATGCAGAGTCATCTAAACCATTCGTAGGACCAAGTGACTCTATCTACATGAATTTAGCCATAAGTTATGATAGAATAATAGTAAGTTATGATAGAAACTCATCTAAACCATCAGTTGGTCCCACACACAAGAATTTAGCTATGCCATCCTATGGAAGCAATGCATTGATCGTTGACTAGTAGTGATGTAGCTGGTCTTCCCAATGGCTCCACATTAAGGAATTTAGGCCTGCCGTGTTCTAGGAAGGGGACTTGTGAATTACCAAGTCAAGTGGAATAGTCATGATAATGATGGTTTCTAAATTCTAGTGGATGAGAAGGATTTGCCTGTCAACAAAAGTAGAATGATATGTAATTACCGCTATAGATTAGTAGAAAAGTTTTCTTGATTGAATCAAAGGGTTTGCAATCGTGAGTTACGTGTGATTAACAATGTTATCGGATATACATATAATTAAAATTCTATATATTTATCAAAGAAAAAGTTTCACATTCTAATCGACAATTAACAGGATCCCTTTGAATATATTGAGTACAACTTAAATTCATGATAAGTGTTTTAACATAGAGCCAATTTAATGATCTATGATTCCATTGTTTGCATGTAAACCAACAGTGTAATTGGTAATATCTTTTTTTGTTAAATGCTCGGTCGACCACGAAAAATGCCATGTGAGCCTCAAATGGAAAATATCACATGAAATCCATCTTTCATTGTACTATTCAAATTGTAACTGAAAATTTCATGCATATAATTGACAAAGCTTGTAGTTGAAAGACGCAAGTAACATTGTGTCCCGAACCAAAAATATATTTGATAATTTTCTCAAAGTCAGATTGCCAATATTGGTCGATGTCCCACTTGCAATATAGTTTGGCTCCATTTTTCACTATGCAAATATTATAATTTGGTAATATATTTTTCTTTCTTTAATTATGAAACACTAAATTTACTTCAAAATTATCGACCATCTATTCTCAAAATTGTTTGTAAAGTACATATTCTTAGGATATTGATCCAACAATAATATTAGAGGAATTATACACTTCTGAACTTGGATCCCCAACTTCTACATATCAGTGTATAGAATAGAAGTGATGCCTATGAAATCGATTTCAAGAGTTATGGAGGTAACATAAGAAACTCCAAATAGTTGATCAGGGCCATGGAGTCAATGTGTAATTTACACATAATAATGATACAAGAAATTAAGTCTGTCGTGGTGGGTGGGTGGGCAGTTGACTGACTTGTGGTGTTTGTGGTGTTTTGTGGTGTTTGGTGTTTTGGTTGTTGGAGGAAGAGAGGGTTGCTCTCTTGCAACTCAAAGCTTAGATAAACTACCCCAATGGAACTTCTTTGCCATCTTGGGAGGACACATTAGAAGGTAATAATAGTAAGGAGAGTGACTGTTGCTATTGTTGGTGTGGATCTCTACAATATGACAAAATTGATTATTGAGATTTTGGAATGATATTAAACTTAGAATTATTCTAAACAGAAACATTTAAATCTGTTTATGCAATTAAGAGCAAAACAGTAACATTCAAGAAAAATTAGTAAGATTTAAAACTGCAATAAATAACTTATTAATTTACATATCAGGAACGGAAATTGAATTTTATAGATCAAAGCTAGTATTTGATACTATATCTTTAAGACAAATTTGGTGTCATACTATTGTTTAAGAAAATCATAACGTCTGTCTATCAAAATACAATAATCTTAATGCAATTGAAAGTAACATTTCAATTCAATTGTCCAATTGATAAGAATTGTGTTGTGTACTTTAAAAAAAATAAAGACTCCTAATGCAAAGATTTATGAATGTAATGATTGCCTTAATTTATAATATTGTAAAGAAGTTAGTGCAAAATGCTAATGAATTTTAGTTATTTATAGACAAAATAATGACTATTTTGGACAGCCACCATAGCGGATTCAACCCACAAAACACCATTAAGGTATGCCTAATAAGAATAGACCCGAAATTCAAATTTAAAAGTAGAGGGAAGTTAAAAGTCAAACTAGTGCAAATTTGAATTCTAAGAGACAAAATTTGGATTAATAATTTTGGACACAATTCATAAAGGAATTTTTTCCAAAAAAATAAGGTTGGTTCTAATTTTTTTATTGTAAAATAACATACTAAAGTTGTAAAAACACTCATTGAAGTAATACATTAATTGTAGAGGTATGATATCGAATTTTTTTTTAACTACCGTAGTCAAGTCCTTATTTTAAGGTTGGTTCTAAACCAAAAAGATAAGGTTGGTTCTAATTTTTTTGAGTACTGCTACAAAATTCAAATGAAATTCAAAAAATTACAACCCAAATAAATATCATCTATTAAATAAGTGGATCTCATCAATTTTTTTAGTGAGACTCCCTTATCTCACACTCATCCAAGGGATAATATTCATTTGACTTTTAATTCTTAGATTTCACTTAGATTATGATACCAAATTTTTTTAACTACTGTAGTCAAGTCCTTATTTTGAATTCAAAGTATTACCACAAACTGTGGAATTTGTAGAGTAGATTTAACTTTTCTTTCTAATTTGTTTCTTTCTATGAGTCATGCGTGGGGTACGTTTGATCATTAATGTCAACATTATAATCTGGTAATCTTTTTTTCTTTTTCTTTTCTTTGTTGACCATTTAAAAATGCTGTAGGGTCAGTCGACCCCATCTACAAGAATTTAGCTCTGCCGTATTAGGTAGGTTGTTGACTGACTTGTGCATGACCCCACCAACAAGCAACACATGAATTTTGCTTTGGTAACAATTGATAGTAAAAATAATACAATAAAATAAATAATAAAAAGAATTTACTTAAAGATGTCACGCTTTCATGAAATGTAAAAAAGAAGGTATGACAGCAAAAGTATGAATAAATTTCTTTATTAAGTTTATTCTTAAATAATTTCTTTGTAAGGAGTAAGCAGCATAATTTATTTGGGATTCATTCACCTAAAGGTCCTATCTATTTGGGATCCAAAACTAAGAATTTATTGTGGATCCGAAGTACTGAGTCTCATTTATGATATATTCGAATATATTGAGTCTTATTTAAATTCATGATAAATATTTAATTCTAAGTATATTTAATATTAAAAATTTGAATTCCATTTTCGGCAATATAAATTAACGAGTATTATAATTGGTGATACCACTAACAAACCATTCAAAAAGATATCAAAAAATTTGGAGATGTAATTGACGTCTACTTTTGTTGTGGGAGAAAACTAGAATTGCCAGTGGAGCCAAAAATATATTTAATTAGTTTTTTCAACTTTAGATCACTAATGTTGATGAATGAGCCATTTGAATAAAATCTACTAATAAGGTCTCAGGTCTCATTTTTATTGTTGGAAAGTGTTTAAAATTTAGTCAATTTAACAGAACTAAACCTCACTCCCATTTTCACTATGCAAACATTATAATTTGGTTATATCTTTTTCTTGTTCTTTTTTTCTTTCATGTTTCACTGTGCATACTGGCCTCGAATTTAGCTTTTCCGTGTTAGGGGGGTTGTGGACTGACTTGTGCATGACTGGTCCTGAGTCAAGATTTTGAGAGCTTGGCCTGCTACTTCTCCAAAGGCATCACCCCTCTATTTAATCTGATAGCACTTTGCCAAGAAACACAAGCAAAAACATATCAGCAAATAAATATGAAGGAATCAAAGGGTTTGGAGTGGTGGGTGGTAATGTTAGCTTTGATATGGCTTTGTGGTATTGGGTGTTTTGGTTTTTGGGAGGAAGAGAGGTTTGCTCTCTTGCAACTCAAAGCTTCCATAAACTACCCAAATGAAACTTCTTTGCCATCTTGGGAGGACAGAGTGGAAGGTTATAACAGTATGGAGAGCGACTGTTGTTATTGGGAAGGAGTTGAATGCAACGAGACCACATCTCATGTAATTAAGCTTTTCCTTAACTCTACAAGGAATTGGTCTTTAGGAGATTGGTATTTCAATGCCTCTTTGTTTCTTCCCTTTAAAGAGCTCCGAAATCTTGACTTATCTAACAACCAGCTTGTTGGTTGGGTCGCAAATGAAGGTCCAGATTTTCCTGCTTAGCAAAATAATAAGCATGTGGTGTTCTTAATATGTTATTCAGGGAATTTTTTTTTGGTAATCAAAATGTAAAATTCATAGCAGGTTTCGAAAGATTATCTGTGTTGAGCAAGCTGGAGGTCCTTCGGTTGGATTACAATTACTTCAATAACAGCATCCTATCATCTCTTGGATTGCTTTCGTCACTTCAGAGACTATACATAAGTGTGAACTATTTGAATGGATCTATTCACCTGCAAGGTATGAAAGAGATTTTAACAACATTTATTTATGTACGAGAATTGCAATAAATGGCATTTTCTCTACTACTTCTGCTTGGAACCATATCAAGGGAACTAGTCCAAAAACCTCTTGGTCCAAGCGTCTCTGGTACAATCAATCCATCCCGAGAATGAGCTTCATTCTTTGGTTGGCCATCAAGCAAAGGCTCTCTACCAAGAATAGAATTCATGATCCTTATAACTAGACTAGCTTGGAATGCATGGTTTGGAGGCGTCACCCTGAATCCCACTTTCACCTCTTCTTTGAACGTGTCTATTCCTTTTAATTGATGGCTTTAAGTGCATAGTAGATTGCATCCCGTGTATTTAATTTATTTTTTTAAACTGTGTTTCAAAATTGACGAAGACATGTTATTAGTGCTCTCTAAAATTCTAACTTCTTATTCCTAATTTTTGGAAAATTGGATACAAAGTTCTATCATCCAAACAACTTTTCTTATTTTTGTTTCATATCCAAAAATAAAAAAATTGTTTTACAGATGCAAACCAAACAAGACTTTTAACAATAATTATTTCTCAACCTAAAATCCAATGAAAGAATGCAGAAGACAAAGAAATCAGTAAGCTTACAGACTGAAGTAATAAAATACTAATGAACTTACACTCTTACAGATCACGAATAATTGTTGTTTTATATGCAGACTTTCCTGCTACGAGCAACCTGGAAGAGCTGGACTTGAGTTATAACGGAAATATTACCAGCCTCACTACCATGATAGGTATAGATGATTTGTCGAAGGATATGTTGTTTTCGTTCTCTTCATGTGCAGGATTGAATTGGAACTACAGTATAGATCATAACAGTGTAATATTTTGCATTCAGGTATGAAGAGCTTAAACAAGCTTCAAGTTCTTCGCATGAAAGGCATCACATTTAATGCAAGTGTTTTACATTCACTAGGTGCATTGCCATCTCTCAGGAAGTTAATCCTTAGAGTGGAGGGATTGGTCACCAAAAAAGGTAATGACGACGACTTAATAATATTTTCTGCAGTTCCTTCCTCGNGGAATAGTCATGATAATGATGGTTTCTAAATTCTAGTGGATGAGAAGGATTTGCCTGTCAACAAAAGTAGAATGATATGTAATTACCGCTATAGATTAGTAGAAAAGTTTTCTTGATTGAATCAAAGGGTTTGCAATCGTGAGTTACGTGTGATTAACAATGTTATCGGATATACATATAATTAAAATTCTATATATTTATCAAAGAAAAAGTTTCACATTCTAACCGACAATTAATAGGATCCCTCTGAATATATTGAGTACAACTTAAATTCATGATAAGTGTTTTAACATAGAGCCAATTTAATGATCTATGATTCCATTGTTTGCATGTAAACCAACAGTGTAATTGGTAATATCTTTTTTTGTTAAATGCTCGGTCGACCACGAAAAATGCCATGTGAGCCTCAAATGGAAAATATCACATGAAATCCATCTTTCATTGTACTATTCAAATTGTAACTGAAAATTTCATGCATATAATTGACAAAGCTTGTAGTTGAAAGACGCAAGTAACATTGTGTCCCGAACCAAAAATATATTTGATAATTTTCTCAAAGTCAGATTGCCAATATTGGTCGATGTCCCACTTGCAATATAGTTTGGCTCCATTTTTCACTATGCAAATATTATAATTTGGTAATATATTTTTCTTTCTTTCATTATGAAACACTAAATTTACTTCAAAATTATCGACCATCTATTCTCAAAATTGTTTGTAAAGTACATATTCTTAGGATATTGATCCAACAATAATATTAGAGGAATTATACACTTCTGAACTTGGATCCCCAACTTCTACATATCAGTGTATAGAATAGAAGTGATGCCTATGAAATCGATTTCAAGAGTTATGGAGGTAACATAAGAAACTCCAAATAGTTGATCAGGGCCATGGAGTCAATGTGTAATTTACACATAATAATGATACAAGAAATTAAGTCTGTCGTGGTGGGTGGGTGGGCAGTTGACTGACTTGTGGTGTTTGTGGTGTTTTGTGGTGTTTGGTGTTTTGGTTGTTGGAGGAAGAGAGGGTTGCTCTCTTGCAACTCAAAGCTTAGATAAACTACCCCAATGGAACTTCTTTGCCATCTTGGGAGGACACATTAGAAGGTAATAATAGTAAGGAGAGTGACTGTTGCTATTGTTGGTGTGGATCTCTACAATATGACAAAATTGATTATTGAGATTTTGGAATGATATTAAACTTAGAATTATTCTAAACAGAAACATTTAAATCTGTTTATGCAATTAAGAGCAAAACAGTAACATTCAAGAAAAATTAGTAAGATTTAAAACTGCAATAAATAACTTATCAATTTATATATCAGGAACGGAAATTGAATTTTATAGATCAAAGCTAGTATTTGATACTATATCTTTAAGACAAATTTTGTGTCATACTATTGTTTAAGAAAATCATAACGTTTGTCTTCCAAAATACAATAATCTTAATGCAAATTGAAAGTAACATTTCAATTCAATTGTCCAATTGATAAGAATTGTGTTGTGTACTTTAAAAAAAATAAAGACTCCTAATGCAAAGATTTATGAATGTAATGATTGCCTTAATTTATAATATGGTAAAGAAGTTAGTGCAAAATGCTAATGAATTTTAGTTATTTATAGACAAAATAATGACTATTTTGGACAGCCACCATAGCGGATTCAACCCACAAAACACCATTAAGGTATGCCTAATAAGAATAGACCCGAAATTCAAATTTAAAAGTAGAGGGAAGTTAAAAGTCAAACTAGTGCAAATTTGAATTCTAAGAGACAAAATTTGGATTAATAATTTTGGACACAATTCATAAAGGAATTTTTTCCAAAAAAATAAGGTTGGTTCTAATTTTTTTATTGTAAAATAACATACTAAAGTTGTAAAAACACTCATTGAAGTAATACATTAATTGTAGAGGTATGATATCGAATTTTTTTTTAACTACCGTAGTCAAGTCCTTATTTTAAGGTTGGTTCTAAACCAAAAAGATAAGGTTGGTTCTAATTTTTTTGAGTACTGCTACAAAACTCAAATGAAATTCAAAAAATTACAACCCAAATAAATATCATCTATTAAATAAGTGGATCTCATCAATTTTTTTAGTGAGACTCCCTTATCTCACACTCATCCAAGGGATAATATTCATTTGACTTTTAATTCTTAGATTTCACTTAGATTATGATACCGAATTTTTTTAACTACTGTAGTCAAGTCCTTATTTTGGATTCAAAGTATTACCACAAACTGTGGAATTTGTAGAGTAGATTTAACTTTTCTTTCTAATTTGTTTCTTTCTATGAGTCATGCGTGGGGTACGTTTGATCATTAATGTCAACATTATAATCTGGTAATCTTTTTTTCTTTTTCTTTTCTTTGTTGACCATTTAAAAATGCTGTAGGGTCAGTCGACCCCATCTACAAGAATTTAGCTCTGCCGTATTAGGTAGGTTGTTGACTGACTTGTGCATGACCCCACCAACAAGCAACACATGAATTTTGCTTTGGTAACAATTGATAGTAAAAATAATACAATAAAATAAATTATAAAAAGAATTTACTTAAAGATGTCACGCTTTCATGAAATGTAAAAAAGAAGGTATGACACCAAAAGTATGAATAAATTTCTTTATTAAGTTTATTCTTAAATAATTTCTTTGTAAGGAGTAAGCAACATAATTTATTTGGGATTCATTCACCTAAAGGTCCTATCTATTTGGGATCCAAAACTAAGAATTTATTGTGGATCCGAGTCTCATTTATGATATATTCGAATATATTGAGTCTCATTTAAATTCATGAGAAATATTTAATTTTGAGTATATTTAATATTAAAAATTTGAATTCCATTTTCGGCTATATAAATTGACGAGTATTATAATTGGTGATACCACTAACAAACCATTCAAAAAGATATCAAAAAATTTGGGGATGTAATTGACGTCTACTTTTGTTGTGGGAGAAAACTAGAATTGCCAGTGGAGCCAAAAATATATTTAATTAGTTTTTTCAACTTTAGATCACTAATGTTGATGAATGAGCCATTTGAATAAAATCTACTAATAAGGTCTCAGGTCTCATTTTTATTGTTGGAAAGTGTTTAAAATTTAGTCAATTTAACAAAACTAAACCTCACTCCCATTTTCACTATGCAAACATTATAATTTGGTTATATCTTTTTCTTGTTCTTTTTTTCTTTCATGTTTCACTGTGCATACTGGCCTCGAATTTAGCTTTTCCGTGTTAGGGGGGTTGTGGACTGACTTGTGCACGACTGGTCTTGAGTCAAGATTTTGAGAGCTTGGCCTGCTACTTCTCCAAAGGCATCACCCCTCTATTTAATCTGATAGCACTTTGCCAAGAAACACAAGCAAAAACATATCAGCAAATAAATATGAAGGAATCAAAGGGTTTGGAGTGGTGGGTGGTAATGTTAGCTTTGATATGGCTTTGTGGTGTTGGGTGTTTTGGTTTTTGGGAGGAAGAGAGGGTTGCTCTCTTGCAACTCAAAGCTTCCATAAACTACCCAAATGGACCTTCTTTGCCATCTTGGGAGGATAGAGTGGAAGTTTATAACAGTATGGTGAGCGACTGTTGTTATTGGGAAGGAGTTGAATGCAACGAGACCACATCTCATGTAATTAAGCTTTTCCTTAACTCTACAAGGGATGGGTCTTTAGGAGATTGGTATTTCAATGCCTCTTTGTTTCTTCCCTTTAAAGAGCTCCGAAATCTTGACTTATCTAATAACCAGCTTGTTGGTTGGGTCGCAAATGAAGGTCTAGATTTTCCTGCTTAGCAAAATAATAAGCATGTGGTGTTCTTAATATGTTAATTAGGGAATTTTTTTTTATTTTATCCAAAAGTAAAATTCTTAACAGGTTTCGAAAGATTATTTGTGTTGAGCAAGCTGGAGGTTCTTCGGTTGGATTCCAATTATTTCAATAACAGCATCCTATCATCTCTAGGATTGGTTTCGTCACTTCAGAGACTATACATAAGACACAACTATTTGAATGGATCTATTCACCTGCAAGGTATGAAAGAGATTTTAACAACATTTATTTATGTACGAGAATTGCAATAAATGGCCTTTTCTCTACTACTTCTGCTTGGAACCATATCAAGGGAACTAGTCCAAAAACCTCTTGGTCCAAGCGTCTCTGGTACAATCAATCCATCCCGAGAATGAGCTTCATTCTTTGGTTGGCCATCAAGCAAAGGCTCTCTACCAAGAATAGAATTCATGATCCTTATAACTAGACTAGCTTGGAATGCATGGTTTGGAGGCGTCACCCTGAATCCCACTTTCACCTCTTCTTTGAACGTGTCTATTCCTTTTAATTGATGGCTTTAAGTGCATAGTAGATTGCATCCCGTGTATTTAATTTATTTTTTTAAACTGTGTTTCAAAATTGACGAAGACATGTTATTAGTGCTCTCTAAAATTCTAACTTCTTATTCCTAATTTTTGGAAAATTGGATACAAAGTTCTATCATCCAAACAACTTTTCTTATTTTTTTTTCATATCCAAAAATAAAAAAATTGTTTTACAGATGCAAACCAAACAAGACTTTTAACAATAATTATTTCTCAACCTAAAATCCAATGAAAGAATGCAGAAGACAAAGAAATCAGTAAGCTTACAGACTGAAGTAATAAAATACTAATGAACTTACACTCTTACAGATCACGAATAATTGTTGTTTTATATGCAGACTTTCCTGCTATGAGCAACCTGGAAGAGCTGGACTTGAGTGCTAACTACGATATTACCAGCCTCACGACCATAAGAGGTATAGATGATTTGTCAAAGGATACGTTGTTTTCGTTCTCTTCATGTGCAGGATTGAATTGGAACTACAGTATAGATCATGGCAGTGTAATATTTTGCATTCAGGTATGAAGAGCTTAAACAAGCTTCAAGTTCTTCGCATGGAAGGCATCAGATTTAATGCAAGTGTTTTACATTCACTAGGTGCATTGCCATCTCTTAGGAAGTTAATCCTTGCAGTAGAAGGATTGGTCACCAAAAAAGGTAATGACGACGACTTAATAATATTTTCTGCAGTTCCTTCCTCCCTTTTGTTACGGTTAATTAAAATATTTACATTA